GTTTATAGACTTAAAGGCTTTAACAATATCGTTTGGAAATACATGACGGAACCTTAAATTAGTGATACTAACTGTTTTATTTTCTTTTAGTAAGGATTCAGCGGCAGTGGGAGATGAATTTAACGACTTAGTAGTCAAAATTGGAATGTCAGTAAAAAAATTTTCAAATATTTTAGCAACTTCTGCATCTGTGCTTACAATTTTGTCATTAAATCTTAGTTGAAAATCTAAGTTACGAGGTTTGACCCTTCCAGTTTCGCTGTTTATAATATTCCAAGTCGTTTTTACTACATTCGCGCTGCTTTTTATTTTATTATTTATAAACATTGCTTTGGCTGCAACACAAACACGTTTAAACATTTTCGAATATTTCCTAACAAAATCATTAAAACTGTTACTGTAACGAGAAAATTTAGAAAAATAATATTTAAGGTACTTCTTGGGGAGTCCAATGCTACAAGGTACGCCGATAGTGGCAGAGGGCCAGTCTAAGCCCCTGTCATCCAAATATGTCGTCTTCAAGTCGTTGTGTACGGGTTTTAATATAAAATGGTCTTCTAAGCGTATTTGAATGGTTGTAGTAAGCTCCGCAAATAAGTTATTTCGATAAACAAACTATGCGGGGTGTTTGAACGAGAACCTGAAACATTCAATTTGATCGCTCACACACCGTCAGCACTCCAATTTTCCACGTAGTGAACTCGTACTAAATATCATGAATTTTGGCACGAGTGAATTCATCGCTTTCACGTGGCGCATTCAATTAGTGACGCAGCGGAGCGCGACCAGTGCCGAATAGGCGATGTAATTAATAACGGATTCCGTACCACAGTGCACGATCCGTCACCTCACGATACTGCCATAACCACAGAAACTCGTTACCCCACTCGATCCAATTTCCTACCTCGTTCTGCGGTTGAGAAAGATCGACTCACGATACGTTCATACTTCACTCAAACTGTTTTTCAAAGTAATTTTAAATGTATCGCTTCGTTGCTCATTTACGATATACGGGCTTACTTTTCCTTATAAAATTGCCCCTGTTTAATACTTGCCGAAAGTCTTATATAAAATAAAGCTTGTACGCAGATACTGCGAAGGGTTCGTATAAGAAACAAGTTGAGTCACTCACTAGAAGTAAATATAATTATTAATAGCGTGCATTACTATCCGTTTTGTCTTTATACTCAAGTATATAAAAGGTAATCTCGTCATTCGTGGTTTGAGGCGCCCTATCCTAAAGACGCGTTAGGCAACGTAACAATGAAATTATTCAGTACGAGAAGTAGCAGCTGTGTCGCCTCATATTTCATATTCATAGCTCGACCAGCGAACCGAGATGGTCTCAATGTAAATCTTATTAAACGTGTCGCGATTGCCGTGTTATATCTAAATGTAAATTTCAGGCTTCAAGCCTACTTACTTGCACGTGTACTCTAATGCGTGCTCAAGGTATTCGCAAAAGTTTAGTTTTTGCACGTACCCAATCGTGAATTCACACCACAAGTAGAGTTGTAATGAAAAGCTCAAAGAATATCACTAGATTAATATTGAAATATGTCATGCCATTTAAATATTTCTTATTAATTTACCCTCCATCGCGTCATATTATAGGACTAAGGGACCAAGGGCTTAAGCGTTTCCACCTATCACAGTCCGTAAGTACGAAAGTAAGCAAACTGACAATTTCAAATGTAAATACGATCGCTTTTGTAGCAAAGAATGAGGGTGTAAGAGTGGTTACACACGGAGACTTTTAGCAGCGATGCAAGCGCGCGACTACACCGATACAACCGCGCGATTGCATCGCTACACTTGCGATTTATAGACGATTGTATCGATGCAAACGTGGGTTGCATCGACACAAACGTGTGATTGCATCGATATAATCGCTTAAAAATTCCCAGTCCAGGGACGCAATCGCGCGTTTGTATCGATGCAGTCACGCTCTTGCATCGCTGCTTAAAATCGCGCGCATGTGTAACAGTAGACAATTAGCGACTGCATCGCGTTTACATCGCTGCTGAAAATCGCACGTGTGTAACCGCTCTTAGAAGGACAAAATGTCCTTCTAAAACTTTTTCCATTTAATAGCGTTGCTTTTATCGGCGCGATTAGCTATCGCCTTGCGAGTATCTCTGTTGTATGCCAAAACTTGTTACGGCATATATGCATATTTACTTAGTCAAGAAGAGAGTGTGTGATGGAATTCCACGATTTAATTCCGCCTTCTCCTTTCCATCACCAGGAAAGTGGACATTGCAAGGATTCGCACGAAGCTTTACGCTTTCATATTTATGAGGCGAACGGCTATGGAGTGGAATTCCCTGCCTGCAGACTTGTTTCCTGAACGTTATAACTCCATCAGGTGTTTGGGCCCCAAGTCTGCTAATTTTTTTGAAAGTACTGGTTATTATAATTTCAATGAGACTTGACTGAGATTATATTGCAATGATGATAATATTTGTTATTATGCTAATATCTAGTTGCAATGGCAGTTGAGTCTCGATAGAGTGTAAGTGGATTGGCAGTGATGACATTCACTTATTCAATCACTAACAATCGATGTTGGCATATCTTAATTCTTTTTTATATTTGTATTTTTTTTTAAATAATATCAAGTGACTGGACGAACAAGTCATGCGCCTGATGGTAAGCTAAGAAGCAAAGCTAACACGCCTGTCCATAACAGTTGCAGTGCCACTCAGAGCTTTAAATCGCAAAGATCTGAGGGGCACTGCCACTGCGCCCGTCACCCTGAGACTAAGTTGACAAGTCCCATGTGCCTGTAATTTCACCAGCACCCTTACCCTTCCCCTTACCCTTCAAAACCGGAACACAGTAATGCTGTACTGCTTGGCGGCAGAAATAGGTAAGGTGACAGTACTTCCCTGGACGAATTCTTTCACAAGGAGCTACTGCTACTGCTACTAAAATTCGTATAATCAACTACTTACTCTTCAAATTAATGAAATGTATTTTTCAATTTATTTATTGAGATTCATCGATTGTTACATCGATACATTTGCATTTTTCATTGGTAAAGGTGTTTGATAGATGCACAACTATTTAAAGATGAAACACAGTATGCATTAAATTGAGCAGGTAGTCTTAATAATACAGTGTACCTATATAGACAAAGAAAAAACACAAAGTGAATATAACGACAAAATATAATAATCAGATTAAAATATATATCCCCAATGTAAGGGTTAAGTTAGTATAAATTTTTGCAATTAATGCTAAAAATTCAACTAGTTTATTTGCTAAGGATTGCCTTGCGGAGATCGGTTATCGAGTTTGAGAAAATATCTATTGTAACACTCATTGTGTAGTCTGGACACATGGCAGATCGGTGAGTTGAGCCCCAATTTAGTACTCCTGTGCGGTGGTGATAGACGAGCAACGATCTTTTTACGGGGATATCGATGAGGAACGTTTAGTTTGAACATTGATATCAGTTGTGGGCAGTCAATCTTGTGAGTAAATAATTTGTGGAGGAAGGTTAGGTCCAATGGATCTAGAAATGTATCAAATAACACTCGATAATCAACTTCATTTGAAGTAAAAACGAGTCGACAGAAACGTCAAATAAATTAGTAGACTAACAATCAAAAAATTGCAATGGCAGCTAAATAGTAGTTCGATGGCCAACCTGTCACAACCTACTACTCGTAACATTTAGTAGAATAAAAAACGTACAAAATCTGGCACACTCTATCGACACACAACAGAGATGATTTAAAATTATCAGAAATACGGGCAGTTTGAAGAATACAGAAATCTATCAGAGTCTAGTGAGACACTCCATACACGTTTCTCGTCTAACATATAACATCTACAAAAAGAAGTTAGCACAAAATACAACAAAATGCGACAACGTCTTCAGTCTAGACTGTCTCAACTTTTTATTTAACTTCATAATACGCTCTTCACTTTTAAAGCGACTTTCAGTGACAAGGGTGGATGAGTGGTTTCTGTTTATTTTCCCCATGAGAGACCGCGCGAAAAGGCTTGTTAAAGTACCTAACCAAACGTTTTTGTTTTTTTCGTAATTGCAGAGCTTAAGGGTATTTATGTTGTATAGCAAAGCTTTAGTGGACTCTGTACTTCAATTCTCATAGAGAGAACATATTGTTTAATGAAATTATATTACTATTTGCATTTGTTTTAGCTTTTACGTAACGAACTTCTCTTCAAACTTCGTGAAACATTTAATTACAATATTGTATAAAATTGGGGGAGCTGGGAAAATTTTAGGAAGGAACATACATGTTAGCATCGTATATAGCTAACATTATGTAACGTATCAATATGTAGAGAGGTATACTTTTCGCGATATCTATTCGTATTAGGCCCTTTTCACAGAACACGTTCGGTATATGTCCTTTTATTATATATAGAACGGTGTGAGATATATATAGCCAACAACAAAATAGCGAATAGCGTAGGCGGCAAGATGGTGTGCGCCAACAGTGACGCAATAATGATGCCGTCTCTCAGAGCCTCTTGACATTCTATTATATTCGCGTCCAAATCGAAGACGATTTCAATTCTTTATTATTTACAACAAATACATTGAATGAGGTTTATCTTTATTATTTTGTATATTTGCGAGATAAAGCTCTATTTCGGGATAGATAGGGAGTATTATAAATGAAATTTTGCTATTTCTCGACATTCCATCATCTCTAAATCTTTTCCAGGCGGCGTACACCGTGAAGGAGAGACCACTCTGGATATATCAGCTGATTTGAATGAACTCGGTCGCAACAGGACACTGGTCGTTTGTAGCGGAGTCAAATCTATACTAGATATTGGACGGACGCTTGAGTATTTGGTAATAACTACACTACTACTTCTTTTTACAGTAAAATACGTCGGGAAAACGCAACACCTGCTTGTATCGACTTCTCTAACGTTCAGTTTTATGAACTATACAAAATATATGTTTTTTTCTTATTACCATCGCCATCGTAATGGTGCTATTTTCCTTTATTGCAGGTACGTTATGATGTAATATAAAATCGAACTTACTGTCAATGTTTATTCTTCTGCTTTAGGAGACGCAGGGCGTGTGCGTTTGCTCTTTCGGCGACTCGGACGATTTTCCAGCGTTCTATACCCGAAAATCTGGATATAAAGCTCCCCACCGAGTGAACGATGCACTGCATGCAGCGCGATTACTGCAAGCTTCACAAGAGTTGCAGCTTTCCTCGGGAATCGTCATTGCTGTGCCTTTACCTGAAGAACATGCTATGGACGGTTGGTGCATATACCGTCGGTGTTTTGTAGAAAGGGCGAAAAGGCCATTATGATAAATTTTTCAGGGCAGCATGTTTTAGTTTCTCAAGACTGTTTTAAAATATTTACGTCCTGTTTTAAAACCAATTCCAAAACTTAAACGTAATTAAAACCAAAGTTAAATTTTAAAAAAGATAGGAAATTATATTAAAACAGTCGTTAAAACCTAAAATACGCTCGCCTGAAAAAAAAATCGAAATGGTGTTTTCGCCCTTTCTATAAAACATCCAAGATATTATGTAATTTGAATAAATGAAGAGAATTTAGCGTCATTTACTTTAACATATGAATGTACTTAGAGGTGGACATTATTACAAAAACTGATAATGTTAATGAATTATTCTTACACAATGTACAACTCATTATTCAACAACTAGCTAACTTGCTGTTCTAGTATCCTGTTGTTGATTGACGATTCTTATTTACAATTCTTGTAGTGTTGCGCCCCTCAATATAAACAATTTTAACTATAAGTACCTTTGAAAAATGATCTTTTTCATGTTTTTGTCAAGTAGTGCCTATTCCCTTTTCGCGATTTCACAAGGGTCTTCACTGTAAGAGTTATTCATATTGATGGATATTATTATGTATTAAAGTAAAGGATGTCAATAAAATATCATCCCGTATAGTTTTACAATTGATATTTGATATATATAGTTATTGGCTTGGTAACATGCATTTTTCGTAGAAAATGCTATTATGGGAAATTCGCAGACAATTTTATCAGTCAAGAATTTTTCCTTTTCGTAGAAAATGTTATAGCAGGCGCCATAAAAATCGCATTAGAGAAAGGTGCTGAGAGGGGAATCAAAGGCAAAGAAGTGACTCCGTTCATCCTCGCTGCGGTTACCAAAGCTACTGATGGAGCCTCCTTGAAAGCCAGTATCCTTTTACAAAGCTTAACATTGACCTTCGACGTAACAAACCAGTATTAACAAAACCCCTTTTAACTATTTATAACTTCTGTGCCTGTTTGTTAGAAAATAAAAAGAGATACTATTATTTTAGATTTCGATTAAACATAAGAAAACATTGATAAAATACCTCAGGTATCATCAAAGTGCTCTAAAATAACACAGAACCATTACGAGACCATTAAAAATACTTAATTAGAAACGGGCCCGCTCACGGCGCAATTTAGTCGTAAATTTAACGCGTAGACGCCGACGACGGCCCTAAAATGATACTAGTGGAACTAATTGCTACGATTTCTTTCCTAAACGAATTTCAGACATCGCACTCATAAAGAGCAATGCTAAAGTCGGTGCCGACATCGCAGTTGAGTTAAAAAAATTGAGAATTGCTCGTGATTCCGAAAAATCCTTTAATATTGGAGTTTCAAAGAGCGGTAAATTGTCGCCGGATTCGCGAAAATCCTTCCACACTTCGTGCATTGCAAGGAATAAGGAAGAAGGGAAATTCAATAACGACTTCCCAATGTTTGCAAACAAAAATTTGGATGGTGATGTCTTGGTCATCGGCGGAGCAAACGTAGATAGAACGTATAGAGTAATGGAACCACGTGTACAGGTAAGTGAATAACATGCATAAACTAACTCAGGACAAAAATAGTTTAATCCTATTATAAGTATTAACTTCTCAAATTCAATGGCATACAATATACACAATCTAGGAATTAATAATATTTAGGTCGTATGTGAGTTTCTCGTTAATTTGTATAGTTTCAATAACCCAATTTTTTTAAGATGTTTTCTTAAGCAATGTTTTCTTCAGGATTAATAATGGATTCCTTGTATTAAAAAGTTATATTTACACGTCTACTATATTATGAAGCAATTGGACTTCGAGATTGCTAAGTAAAGATATTTTTTTTCTTTTAAGGGTAATGCATATCATTGCAAGAATTTTATAGACTTTGCCACATTTCAAAATCTTCGTCACCTTTTTTATCACAAATACCTAACACATATAAAATAAAAAAACAAGATGTTATTTAAGGTGATCAACTTGTTTCCTTGTATAAGGTTCTGAGGCTATCAGGCACAATAACTGTAGCAACCGTTTCCAGCATTTAATTTAATCATATTATAATTGATGCCATCAAGTATCTTAATAGGCTAATTGATTAAAATCAATGTTCTTCAGAATACGTAAAATACTGTACGTCCTTTCATTTGGCAGGGCACATTAGGTAAGGAGGCCGCGGAGCGGGTGCGCGAGGACGCGGCGGACGCGCACCCGCTTCGGCGCAGACGTACGAGGAGAAGGCGAAGGCAGTTCGCTGCTCGCCTGATCCCCTAGTGAGGCCAGCGGGCTCTGGACAAGAACTCCGGAGCCTGCATTGTACGGACTCACTCGTCTGGGGGGCGGGTCGGAGGACATCCGACCCGCCCTTCCGTTGGCGCGGTAGCCAGGGCTCAAGCTAGGGCGGCCGGGCGGCGTCGTGGTGAATGTTCACCGACTCCACGGCGCCGACTCTGCCGGCGAGAGGTAAACCCTGGGGGGTTTTAGTGGGGTAGGCCCTCCAGTCGGGGGGAGAGTCTTCACATAACCCCTGAGTCTCCCTGGGCTCAGGGGTATCTGTAAAGATTTCCCCCCAAAGAGCACACTTTATACGCCTTAAAACTGTTATATCTATAAACAGTCTTAATATGGTATAGACTTAGATAACAGTTCTCTATAAATGGTTTTAGAAAAAAGAAATTGTTCTTATAGACTTATTTCACTCAAGTCAAAATTTTAAAACCTTCTTAATACCAAACAACTTAATTAAGTGTAATCTCTTTTAAGATTTGCTCCTTTAGTCCTTATTTTAAGTTCATCTGTAGATCAACTGATTATTTTTAGTAAATTTGTTCTATACACATCCAGTAGTCTATTAATACTTTAAAAACTAGTGTTCTTAAGTTTATTCTAGATATATTTCATTTATAGCCATTCTGTAGTGTTTGTTCTTATGACAAACACGTTATAGCGCGTCTTCAGTAGATTTTATTTAAAAAAATGCTACAATTAGGATTTTTACTCTATTGGACGTTGTAAGAGTTAATGCAAAGTGGATAAAGTAAAGAATATTAAAAGATCTGGTGGAGGTGGTGAACCTTGGATATTAAGTCACATCATTCGATACAATCAGCGTTAGCAATGCCAATTGTTCAAAATCCCCAAAAATCACGGTTAAAATCCCCAAATTTGGGGAGAGCAAAGTTCATATTCCCCACTAATTCCCCACGTCTCGAGTTTTCATTATTTATTAGAAATACATCGCTTAAAATATAATAAAGAATTAAGAAACTCAAAATGTAATAATCTATTACGTTTGCTGTGAATGTAAAATGTAAAACTAATTATAAAATTAGATGATCTTAAATCGTTTATTTATTTTTATTAGATTCAACATTAATCTGTAATCAGTCTTTGAAAAAAAATTCATTTTTCTTTGTCTTACAAAATTAAGTAAATTGATTATTTGTTGTGCTATTGGTGACACTATGTTAATGTTACAAATAATAAATGAGTTTCGTCCTATATTTAATATTTAAAGTTGACGAGTGGTAAGTTGTGGTGTGGAAGTACCAACTGCTCAGCTTTGTTTATCAATAGCTGATTTCGTTTTGCTTCATACCGGGGACGGGCCTAAGCGGGAGAAAGAATCGCGAACTCAACACACACCGACTGGTAATTTTAAAATTCAGAACCAAGTGCTCTAACAATAATTCTATTTAATCTGCTTGTTAATAATACGAGGGATGTGCGATGTTGAAAAACACGTCGATATAGTCCATCACAGTGTTTCTAACAGTAACGATCAAACTAGCGATGCATCAGCAATTGATAACAAAATGATAAAATGTTAGAATCCCCACATTTTCCTCACATAGCGCCAATCCCCACAAAATCCCCAATCTAGTTGAAATTCCCCATAATTTGAGGAATTCCCCACAAATTGGCAACGCTGGATACAATAGCCGTAATCCGCGCGCGAGCCCGTCATAGCCGGCATTTTTGTTTGTTGACAAATAAATAAACATTGTGGAATAATTTCGTGTTCTGAAATGATAAAAACAATTGAAATGAGCGCGTAAACTACTGTAATTCAATGTTGTGTATGTGTGTTGTGCCGTCTATCAATAGAATACAGTGAAATCATTGTGTGAAATGTGGTTGGCGTGAAGAAATAACCTCAATTTTGTAATGAAAATTTTATTTCTTCCCACATAAGGTATGTCATTAAAACATTCCTTATATTTATATGATAGGGAATTTATCCACCTTTCTAGTCATATATAACACATTCCATATAATTATACAAAATAACGTTCTTTGCGACAAATTGAATTTTGTAACTATTTTTGTGACCTAGTGTTTTGAAAAGTTTTTTATTGCATGATACGCTCACTATTCCTATAACTTTTATAAAGGTTTTGTAATACTGTCAAAAGAAAAAATCGCTTAGAAACATCGCGTTTTGTAGACAGTCATAAAAGATTCATAGTCGTGAGTATTCTTCTACAAGATCAAGCAAGTAAAAATAATCTTTTCGTATTCTAAAGTTTTTCTATAGATAAAGCTATAGACAAAATGCTTTAAATTCTTATCGCCATTTTTATATTTAAAGAATGTCTATGATGTAGCCGAGAAAAATGTATTTTCTTTTTAAAAAGTAAATCTAAGTTGAAATTAGCTTGACGAAGCCTAGAACTTCTTGGAAATGGTTTGTTTTGCAAGTTATTTTGTATATTTAAGCTTTCTATAAATATTTAAAACCAAAAATCGATAACTATATTTTTATTAAGTTTATATTTTATTTAAATATTTAAAATTTAGCGAGCGCATTACTTTTATGACAGGTTTTACATCACTTTTCACAATGTATTTAAAGTCGCACGTCAATTCACGCTTTCTAACCGATTAAACATTGCGCGAAAAAGTCAGAAATATATCTAATTTCGCCATGTTGCAATTTTGATAGTTTATTTTTTGTAAGCCATTAAACTTGAAATCGATTAGTATTAAGAGAATTGAGTCTTATCTTTGTACCGCTTTAGTATTTTGGTTTTAAAATAGCATTACTAAGAAAACTATCACAGACTATAAATTATCTAAAAACTGTCTACATTCTACAAATGGTCTTGTAGCATTCTAGAAGGGTTACTTGAGAAAAAAAGATAAGAATCACTCTTAAGACTACCTACAGATAGTTTCTCAAAGCACTCTTGTGATCTACTATATAGTTGTGCCCACTTTTACTTTAAATTATCTAGAAACCTTCTTCGAGATTCTTGATTACATGAAGAGTTATCATTATTTAAGAAAAACGACAAATGCTCTACCATTCTCCTCTTCAGATTGCTGAGAACCAGTGCGTTACACACTGAAAGTTATGTGATTGAAATAAGCTAAATGTTTTTTTTGTGGCGATAATGTAATTTGTTTCTATCGAACTTATCAAGCATAATATACATGGTTGCTACAGTCGTTATACGTTAGACGTTATACAAGAAACACAAGGATTGTAGCAATATTTTTAAGTAATTAATTTAATTGTGCTGTGATTGATCCTATCAAGAATCGCGATTAGCTTAAATGAATAAACTTAATATTTTTAGTATACTGAATAGGTATTTCTAAATGTTACTTGACTAGTTATTTATTGTTGTATTATTAGAGAGTGCAGCTTTTTTTACTTTATTATAATATTACCTTATGTTTTGAACTTAAAGTTAGCAATCAGGCTACACCGCAAATTTAAATAAAACAAATAAAATTTTAACAAACTCTTTATTTAATGCATTTATAATGATAATATTAGCTCTCAGTCGCCTAGTGCGTACCTTCGGAAAGTTGTAACAACTCTACATACATATTTTAAAAACACACAAATTAGTACAGTAAATTGAAACTAAGTGTGTCACTCCACTGTGCAAGGTACCTTGTGATTTTGAGTCACATTACATTTGAATGCGTTCATTAAGACTCCTAAGGTACCTTTATCTGTGGATTAACACAACTTATGAGATACAAATAGGAGATATACTCGTACAAAATAAATTCAAGAGTTTCTGATTACAAATATACTGTTTTTACACATCCACACAATTTGATACAATACACTTTGTCGATAAACGGTGTTGAACTAAAGCTTCAAACACACGAACGCAGATGAAGTGCAAATTGCGTATTATCATTTTTTATCGAGCGTAAGAACCGTTCGACGTGCTGAAGTATGCACGGCATAATACTAAAAAGCGTCCGTGCGAGTGAAACCTGGTAAATTGTCGGTGCACAGAACACAAAGTCAGGTTGTGAAAATTCAACATACAGTGTGATAGACATACAGTGCGTAGGCAGCACATAAGGGACGAGTCTCGTGTAGTATATACTATATAGGTATTTTAAGATTAGTGTACAATCAACACAACATAAGTTATACGATTTCTTAAGCCAAGGCACATGTCATTAACCGTTTCTTTTTTTTGGAAGAATTGCAGGATTTAGATTGGATCCTAGCTACAAATTATTCAACTTTCCGAATATAGGTACAAATTTTAATAAGATTGGTACATTCATGTGACAACAATATTAAAAAACTATTTTTCTGCATAAATTCACAAAATATTATACCTACTCTAAGCGAACGTAATCATTTCATTCACATCATTATAATATATCTATAAATTTAGTTGGTATTAAATACAATTATGTCGGTAGGTTCGAATGGTTGAAGTTAAAGCGTATATAGATGTGACCGCAAATTAATTACGGCGCCTACGCATCCCGCTACTCAACGCTTTGTGATATATAAGGCTACAGCAACAAATTGAGCGAAAATTACTTTAAATTTACTCGGTAGTAAAAAAAACAGCTTTTTATGATTAAATATGGCGCCTTTATAGTGTTTCAACTTATCACAATTGAGTGTAATTGCGCGAGCTGGTTTCCGCTACATCTGTCGCTAGCCTTAGCCTAGCTACATACGTAATCTTTCAGCGAGTGCCAACTCTACAGTTAACAAATTCGACAGCCGAGCAACCCGAGATTCGTAAGATAGTTATCTTAAGTACCTTAAAATTACTTCATTATAACAAACCTGAAACCTGATGGCAGATTGCAAACTTGTTTATCAAGTAGAATTCATTAGCTCTCTCATCAAATAGTTATAACCAAGTTATAACACTTTCCGCAGTTGTTTTACAGAGATGGCACTTCTGTTAACTCCTCTATTCTCGTTGATAGATAGGTTAAACCTTACTCTGACACAGCCATTAATTTACCTACTCTTCACTCAATTATTGTACATGTAGCATTGTCTCTCTATGGCCAATAAAACCACATGATCACAAATCACGACCTCAAAGATTACGTAGTTATCAAATTAGTTACTTTAGGGTGCGTTCAAATTAGACGCTTGTAGCGCTGCAGTGGCACGAATGTGGCGCGGCAAGCGCGCGTCTGTAGCGCTTCACCAATATTTAGTTCACTTTATTATTGTGACTGCAAAAGTAGCGTGTGCATGGCACGACAGTAGCGCTGCCGTGAGGCTTAGTGACAAATGGTCTAATAACCGTTTTAAATAGGAAAAAATAGATGACAAAATTATCTTTTAAAAACAGTTAAAATTTGTTAATGTGTTTGACTTATCGGAACTTACCCTAACTATAACTATAGCTGAAATATTATCTAACAATTTCATTATCCCCTAAAACGGATCCCCTGATGGATCAGCTTTATTTTATATTATTTACTATTCCCACCAGATCCCCTCTGCGGAGGGTCAAGTATAAATAATTATATTTTATTCCCACCTGATACCCTGCTACTTACAAGCTTATTTTTGGTAGGTACCTACCAATAATAAGAGATGACGCAACTTTGCAAATTGTGCATATTAATGAATATAAATTACAGTTAACAAACGCACTAACAAAGCGACGATTAACAGAAGAAATGGAAATTGATAAATAGCACAAAGACGTCACTGACGAACTTTTGATTGGGAATATCACAGTTAGTTACTGTTTAGAAATTAGATTTTAAATATTACTTTACACTGATTTTCTGTTCCTTGTGATTTGCAATATGTTAATATTAATGACCTGTCACAAAAAAACCGGATTGTCTGTGATAATTATAACATTTGATCGCAATTTTCAATAATTTTTTAAAACTTCTTTTTCTCTTGACTATACTTACCTTACAAATACAAAGAGGAGATCAGTTGGGAGTTGCAAAACAGAGAGTGGATCAGTTGTAGGGAATCAGATGGGAATACGCGAATACTTATAATATTGTAAGAAAATTAGAAGTGGCGCGGCTGCAGTGCCTCATTGGTGACACACCAGCGCTTCCTATAAACGTCTAATTTGAAGGCGCCCCCTTAAGGGCTTAAGACGCTAAGAAATTAGGCTACACGCAACCAGCTGAAGCCGATCTATTTTTGTTAACATCTTTGTAATAGTCGTGCAATGCAGAGCTTGTAGTTTCCACAAGCAACGTAACCAGTGTCTGTTGGCGATCTATATTCTTTGTTGTTTTGTACCGATACCGATGTGAATACAATCACCGCGCGGTCAGCATAACAATTCTCACTACTTCCGACGTAACTTCAGACGCTTCTTGTGATCATATGTATTTCGTTCCCTAAGCGTATCTATTTCAATATGCATACAATTTAATATTAAGATCCTGTAATTCGAATAATTAAACGACAAAAGATTATTAATGTTGTTGTTCGCTTTATCTGTTTACAAGCATATAGTTAGGCACTACGTCGTTAAGCTCATATCAGTACTATTTTGTCGATCTGTTCATGCACAATTACTTGCATACTACACATGTACAAATTACTTTTTTATTATTTACATAGAACCGACATCACTGTGACAGTTTTGTTGAAAGAGCATTCTTCCCTGTTACAGAAAAGCCAGAACTAAATGTATGAATGTAGAGATATACCTACATTAAAAACCACGTCGCAATGATGTAGCTGTAAAAAGGTGCGATAGATCTTTAAGGAGCTAATCTCATCATCATCAGTTCAGCAGAAAAATATCTTTTTCCGGACATAGGCCTCCCCTAAAGATCGCCTCAAAACTATTTTTGTTCAAAACTTTTTTAAACAACGACGTTCCACACATTCATTTGAACCACAACGACATAAATAAGATTTTTTTAAATACTACCATGCAATTTTCTTTGATTCATGGTGAAGACAAGCCCCTAAAGAATTATTTCAATCTTTTATAAACATCTTGCATATTACCCGAAAGAGAAAGATGGAATTATGAGATAGAACGAGAAACACGAATCTCGTGCCAACACAATGTTCCATATAACTCTATCCGTCAACTCGTACGATGGAGAATATATCCTACAGCGCGTGACGCAAACTAAAGCAACGTGAATTCTGGCCACTTCTAATCTACAACTATGAATACTGTTCTGGGTACTTGTGCACGATAGGTATAAAAGATACAAGTGTGATTATAACTAAACTATGATTCTATCCCTCAACATATTTCTATGTATAAAAGTATGGAATTCCTAGTGATTAAACTAAAAAACTTTTATAAAACATTCCAAACTTTCTATAGGTGTGCAAAATCACAAGCTCATTTTATATTTGGTTAACTCTCTTTTGAACTATTTGAATAGAAGCGAAATAGTTTTTGTTCGTATCTAGTTTAATTAGCTCTTCTGTTTTTGCATGGCTGAGCACCGCCTTTATGCTCTGAGCTTATGGGATTATATTACAAATACAAAATGACGTCAACTTATTAGCTTAAGTGGTTTGTTTTAGCTTAAAATAAAGTACATTGGTATATATATAGTATAATAAAATCTATAATAAATAACGTAATTATTATAAAACGGCCAAGCGTAGGAACTAAACACAAGCTTTGCTCGTGAATTGAATTATCCCCGTGTAAGATATTCACTATTACACTTTTTGTCTGTTAGCATCTTTGTTTTTCGCGTTAATGGGAACAGACCGCGATCTATAACACTCTGTAAACACTGATTTGCATTGTTGGGACACTTAGGATTGTACTACCACTATAAACATCACTATAAACGGACAGTACTCGCAATTGACAACGGCGAAATGAACTGCGGTGGCAGCGGCTGCGGTAGGCTTACAGCTCGAACTCAGCGTGGGTATGGCGGCGAGAGTCGAGGCGCACGCGCGCCCCGGCACGGCGCACGCAAGCAGGCGCGCTACGCACTGACGCCGGCGCCTCCATCTCGCAGCCGGCGGCCGGGAACGAGCGCCACCGACGCCCGAACAGCCGCTCCAGGTAACATCTTAGTCAGATTCGAGTCGCGGCGCTATCCACCGCTAATGGTCTGTACTCGCCCCTTGCGAGCTCGCGCATTTCGCAGTTGTTGTTGCCGTTCACTGTTTTCGGTCCGAGCGGCTCGTCGTGTATGCTGCGTCGTGAGCATGGTTCCGACGAGCGCCCTAGTAGCGCTTCGCGCTCGCTCGCGCGCTCCGGACTGCCGCTGTGTGCACGCACGCCACCGTTCGCATTTACTGCATTCACTATCACTGTCTGTGATAAGGGTCCTCCATGAATTGGACTGCCTTCTAGAAGCTCACCGGCTCCTAGCTCACTTCGTAATATTCTAATTTTTTGAATCATCTCCTTTATTTCGTATCGGAGGATTCCCAGGAAGCACAACTTTAAGAATGCGATGACGCAATAGCCTAAAACGAACAGTGCGTCCGCCGTTCTCCGCAACCAAACTAACAGTCGTTCCGCACAAGCAGCGGTGTGCGGCGCGCAGTGCACAGGGGTATACGGCGCAAGTGACGATGCCGCCGTCGGCACCAACAACGACGGAGTTGTGAGGGTACTGTGAGCCGGGATGCGACAGCAGCTCGGAGGCAACGTGGTCCGATTGAAAGCTGCGAAATCGGCCGGACCTGTTACGCCACAGCAACGTTGTTCTCTTTGAAGTCGGTCCCACGCCTCCGCAAAGTCGACGTCGGTGTCGTACTCCTTGCCAAGACGAATCCGCAGCTGGGGCCGAAGTTCTCGACAAACGCGTTCAAAGCGAAACGCCCAATAAACACCGATAGCTGCGTCGCCGACGAGCAGAGCTAGTAGAGCGAGCCAGTAAGCATTGAGCATACGCTCGGAAAGGCGCAACGCCGCCAGGCAACCGAGGAGCTGCAGCAGACCAGCCTGCGCTGGCAACGCGACGTACCCGTAGAGGAAACCGGGCTGCGCGGCGCTGAGGCCGGGCACGAGCGTGCGGCGGTAGTCGGAGAGCGCGCGACCCGCCGCCGCGCAAAACGCGAGCGCCCCCAGCAGCAGCGCGCCGTTGCACGCGTAGATCCAGATGCGGTAGTAGCGCATGGCGTGGTGCGCGGCGGGGTGCGCGGGGCGCGCGGGCGGCGGCAGCGTCATGCCTGCGTCACCCGCCTCATGGCGCCGCCCGCGCCCGCGCCGCCGCCACGCGCCGCGCCCCACGCCTCTGCGAACACACGCGACCACAGGATACGTTAGTACATATCATAACAAAGTATATAATACATAAAAACTAGGCACGACAAGAATTCCGATTTTTATTGCTTAACTAATGCTAGCTGGTACCAACGCCGCGCCTTCATCTTCGTGGAATATATGGAAAACAATTCATTCGAGCCCCTTTTAAGGCTGGGCTCACATTAACATTTTGATTGTCGATATCATCCACACCAGAACATACCACATCGTATTTGTCAGCACACACGCCATATTTTTGTACGCTTAAGTGTGCTTCAACACGCTACAGCGTAGTCAAAGTATAGAAAAGAAACAGTATGACCACTCCTTACCTACCTACTTTTTACTGCTTTTTAGCAAAATCAATGGATAATTAAGTATACAGTGAAAAGGTTGAACTTTTTGCCTAGATCCTGTGCGTTATTTTGATATATTTTTTCAATGTATGGATCCTATATAAATTAATATGTAATAAATAATCAGGAAATGTTATCGGACAAATCGCCTAAAGTTACTGGTTTATAAGATCGTCCCGTCAAAGTTGTAGTTTGATTTTCTGTAATATGTTCTTAAGGTAAATTCTTATTCTTAAGGTAAATATATTTAATCTAATTACAAGACTTTTTGCTGTCGAAAGTCTTTCACTTTTATGTGTTAGATACATAGAGGTAATGTAGACGCTATAGCAACTATTTTCCTTCATTCGTCAAAGCATAGATCAGTTGGAGCAAAATATGGCCGCACACAGTAGCCCGCCACGCATAGTGTAGAGTGCTGACGATGCGCCATATAAAACACACGTTTAGTGTGGACGCGTGCTGATAAGTAGGATCCCAACCCTTAAGAGTCCTTTCGAAAAATAAAAAAGTGCGTAATTGTAAAATGTTAGATTACCAGTTTCAGAATAAAACATTAAGAAAAAATATTTACGTAAATAATTACACTTCAGCATCCCGTTTGTTTCTCTTTTATGGGTAGTTTTGAAATATGAAAAACTAAACCAGGTTTTATTTCTCAAGTTTCGTATGAAATCGTCCTAGAGACACACGGTGTCCCTAACGATTTCAGTATTGTCACAGAACAGTAGCGTCTTATTTTGGTGACATATGGCGTCTCTCGCCTGCAGCCGTGTATAATTCATCATTTTTGGAAATTTTATAAAAAAATTAAACAATTGTTGTTTTTATAAAATTTATTTAATTAGAAAAAAATTTGTATACCGGTGACTGTCACCCGTGACCATGGGATCTATAGGGTCTGAAACTTTGGTTTGTTTGAAAAATTAAATATATGCGTGTTAAAGATTTAAAAAATTACCAAAATCGTCACCAACACCGTGTGTGACACACGGTGTGTGCACAGGACCCATAACGGGTTAATAGTTGTAAGGAATACAATTGTCTCCTACAAGTTTACAACTCCTTGGTAGTTTAAAAAAAAAAGGATCGTTTGGAATTTTGATATTCAAAACGTCACATCTTTAGCATCAGTAGTTTCAATTGAGCTTTAATATGCCACTCAGTACTTATGCTTATACACATATACAAAGTATACAAAGGAACATTAATCAATTTTCATCATGGAGACTGCGTCCTTAGAGGAAGGCACAAAAGGACGAAAGGAAGCCAAGTGACAGATGGACAGACAAATGAATGAAATTAGAAGGGTTCTGCTCTGCGTTACCCTTCAGATTTTGCTTTCAGATTAAAAGCTGAGTAAATACTCTACAAAGGCGAGTAAAGATTCTGAGGGGTTTTCGCTTATATTTATCAGCATAGTATGTTGGACTAAGATCAAAGTATTAAGATAAGACCGTGAAACTTTTAACATATAATTTGTTATTATTATTGGTACAAAGATCGAACAACGACAGCACCACCAGCGTGAAACTTTCATAAGTTGTTAAAACCCAATACAAAGAACTGCAACAAGCACACAAAGGCATTCGTAAGATCCGCTGACTCGATCATACGCAGTTGCTAAGGGCGGTGACCCCAGTGTGACAACTCTGGGTCGAGTCTAATTAGATCAAAGGATTTTTTTTAGTCTTGTTTGATCTTTATATCAATAATAATAATAATAATATAGTGGTAGTAAAAACGTTATGATATTCAACAAAATAAATATTTTATAAATTATAAAATTAATTAACTGAAGTAATTACTAAACAGTACATTCAAGAGCACATTAACCTTGACGCTTTAAACTTAGGACCGTTGTTATCGCAAGTGTCATAGAGTTGAATGTAAATCTAAAGTATCACCCCTGACGTGCCCTTGACTACTAACCTAACCTAACACAGAGTAGTTCATATTGCAAAAATAGTAGACCAAAAAAACAGCCGTTTCCGATTTGTCTCTAACTGGTCCGCCAATTTATCGGCCAAGTTCAAAACAGTGTTTGGCTATTGTGTCGTGAATAGCGTGTATCTATTTATTGATTGTATTGTATTGTACAAAGATAGGGCCGAATGCATAATACAGCAGTAGCGAAAGCTCGACGGAGCGTAGGTATCTGCTTAACTGACACTTCCCATTATTTATTGCCATCGGATCCGAACAAAACAACTCCAGTAAGAATGGGGGCAAGGAAGTTGTTTACTCTGCGAGAAGAAAGCCTTTTAAAAATATTTTTATCTTCTTACAATCATGTTTTAGCTGGGCAATAATAAGCAAAATGTTGGCGTCATTATGGACAAAATATTTGTAAAAGTTGTTAATGTGTAAGGTACTTTCTCTACTATGAATTGGAATTCAGTATCTAATAATTCTGAAGCTTGGTGTAACAAAGTTTGTCTATTGTCAGTAGCAGTACCGCTTCTAGTGAAGGGTTCATCCAGGGAAGCACTGTCACCGTACCTATCAGTGATTACTGCGTTCCGATTTTGAACGGTACGCGGAGGTGAGAAATTACCGGCACATAGTACTTATCAACTTTATGTCCCAGGGTGACGGGTGCAGTGGTAGTGCTCCACTGCACTGGTCTTTGCGATTTAAAGCTCTGAGTGGCACTGCAACTGTTAAGTGTGGACGTGCCGCTTACCACCAGGCAATCATGAAATAAAAAAATATATGGTAGCAATAAAACGTCGCAAGGATAGATCAAAAAATTCCGACGAAGGAATCCAATATAGTAGCGCCTCTTTAAAATTTGTGTAGCATTGCCATTCTCCGTCTCCGAGACAGCGAAACCAATGTAAACAGTGTCGATTTTCAAGTATCATTTCAAATTCAAATACCGCTCACGTAATTGTTTTCTAAAGAGACCCTTCGTAACTGAATCGATTTTCTATTTATTACCAGGAAATAAAAATAGAACAACTAACACAAACATTATTGATAATTTATTACTCAACAAATACTACTAAAACGTTGTGTCGAATAATTGAATATTTGTCATCAATAAATGTTTTATCCTGTGTAAAGATCCTCTTTAGTTGTAGTAAATGTTATCGAAAGAAATTAGCAGCGCGAAGCTAATAATTTCTTGCCATTACAGGGTCGTTATCGTTAGTTATGCGTTAGCCGCTCGTAATTGCCTCGTTAATGTAAAAATAGTCTAGTCACACCTTAAATATAAAAATGCGAGGGTGTTACTTTGTTTTTTTTAAAGCCCAATATATACATATTAAAAGTATCTAGGGATGAAGCACGTTGTAGTCAGTTATTGAGAATTAGGTTTTGTGTTTCTCGGAATTTAAGTGCGAAATTTAAATTGAAATTTATTCTGAGCTTTTCGGTGAAGGAAAACATTGTTATGAAACCTGCACGTCGAAGAAGGTTCACAACCTTCGGAAAACGTGTGAAGTCCCAACCCGCATTTGGCCAGCGTGGCGGACTATGGCTTAAACCATCGTCTGAAAGGAGACCCGTGCCCAGCAGTGGACGTGAAAATGGGTTGAAGATGATGATGATGATTTTTTTAATAATTTTTTTAACACTAATGGTTCTTTTTGGTCGGTTTCATAATAAAAAAAATAGCTAAATAAATAATTTCATAAATTTATATTTGCGATGCGCGTCTTTGAATGTTACTAATAATAATCATTCGAATGGGCAAATCATTCACCTAAGTCGAATCCAAGCACAATCATTCGGCTCGAGTTGAATGATTAACTACCGACGCCCCAGCCATTCGGTCGGGTACACGAGTCGAATGATTATTATATTGGAACACCTCATTCATCATGTCCATACCACAAAATATCCCTGTCCCCGTCACATTTACAGTGTTTATCATATATCAGAGAGGGCAAGATGATCACGAGCAGTAATGCTCTATGGAATCTATGGGTTAGTACTACTAATTAGTAATGAATGATCATACAAATCATTCGATTACGAATATTAGTAAATTACTAATTTTACATTCGAATGACTGGATTAGCGATTACGGATTTATGGATTAGTCGAATATCGAAATCATTCACAATCGCGCATGGCTAATTTATATTCATATCTTTATTTAACTTTAATACGGTATTCAAATATTTTAAAAAAGTACCTTGATTGATGAGACACTTTTAATGTGTGTACTTATATTTTATTAATACAAAGACAACACACAAAGAAAAATTCCTTCGAACTGTCATTTAAAAGAAATTTCTCTTTGTGTTCTATCTTTGCACTGACAATTATGACAAACTAAGTAGTCGAGTAATTTCACAAAAAATAAGGTCGTAAGTAGGCCGATGTAGAGACAACGAGACAACATCGTGAAATGGGTATATATTAACCCGACACAAAACCATTCTGGTTGCGGATCCCCCACACAAAGTATGTCTCACTTGATCTCGTGTCCGACCAGCTGCACCCGCGAAGGCCTGCTAAAGACAACAGACAGGGCCATAGAGGTGGCAGCTTACTGGGCCAAAGAAATATAATACTGGTTTGGTATTTTTTTTTTTTAAGCAGTAGAGGTTT